AAAACACGTTTTACGTGTACATTAGGTCAGCTGATATTACCTCCCATCTCACCGCTAGAGGCGCTGCTTGCGAGCGAAAGAGCAAATTTGCAACTCAAATTTGCAAATAACTCGAAGAATATTCAGGATAGACACCTGAAATATTCAATATATGTTTTTCCAGATTCTACTATACATGATGCTAAAACTTCAGTCATATTAGTTACGTATTTTATGTATATTACGTAAAAGAATTCCATTCACAAAAGCAAACGATGACAGAATTGATGACTCTGATACTTGTATATTTTAATCTATCAACATATATAGTCACGACCGTCTTTCCTCAACAATTCCTCATCTCTGTCACGGATGCGCGCGCATCATCATTATGATCATTATCATTATCTAATGATAATAATAATTATTATTATATATTATTATTATTATTTTATTATCAACATATATAGTCACGACCGTCTTTCCTCCTCAATCAATTCCTCAATTCCTCATGTCACGGATGCGCGCGCATCATCATTATGATCATTATCATTATCTAATGATAATAATAATAATAATTATTATTATATTATTATTATTTTTATCAACATATATAGTCACGACCGTCTTTCCACCGTCAACAATTTCTCAATTCCTCATGTCACGGATGCGCGCGCATCATCATTATGATCATTATCATTATCTAATGATAATAATAAAAAATTATTATTATTATATTATTATTATTATTTTATTATTAATATATATAGTCACGACCGTCTTTCCTCAATTCCTCAATTCCTCATGTCACGGATGCGCACGCATCATCATTATGATCATTATCTTCTATAGAAGCTTCTATCTTTATAATTATGTATATTTACAAAAAGTCAATTCGCTCGCGCCTCTAGCGGTGAAAATGAGGGGTAATACCAGCTGACCTAATGTACATGTAAAGTTTGGAGCGGGACGTTTCACAAGAGTGACATCCACGGCTCCAATTTTTAATTGTAACTAATAGTATTGGAATAAAAACATTAAATCGGGTAAAACACGGGCGTTGCCCGGGTCATTCGTCTAGTCAACATATATAGTCACGACCGTCTTTCCTCAACAATTCCTCATCTCTGTCACGGATGCGCGCGCATCATCATTATGATCGTTATCATTATCTAATGATAATAATAATAATAATAATTATTATATTATTATTATTATTTTATTATTCTATCTACTTATATAATGGCCTTATTCTGTCTGTGTGAAGTTCACTGTGTGAAGTTCACGGATAGATTTTGGTCATCAACGCGCGCATCATCATTATGATCATTATCATTATCTAATGGGATGGGAATCGAACCCACGACCTTCCGCTTACCGGGAAGATGCCATGACCACTAGGCTACCCTGGACATATTTTTCCGTTCATAAAGTTAATATATAAATGCAAAAAAAAAAAATCGACATGATGAAATCTTTATGAAAATTCACATTTTTATTTTTATATTTTCAAGACACACACAGTTTGGGGCGGGACGTTTCACAAGAGAGACATCCACGGCGCCAATTTATAATTGTAACGAATAGTATTTTAATTAAAACATTTTAAAAACACACAGTTTGGAACGGGACGTTTCACAAGAGTGACATCCATGGCGCCAATTTATAATTGTAACGAATAGTATTTGAATTAAAACGTTTTTAAAATATATACGCACTCGGGTAAAACCCGGGCGTTGCCCGGGCCATTCTTTAGTTATTAATATATAGTCACGACCGTCTTTCCTCAACAATTCCTCATCGCTGTCACGGATGCACGCGCATCATCATTATGATCATTATCTTCTATATCAATATCTTCTAATCAATGTCCCATATACTAGATGACTGCCCGCTGTACAAATTCAATGGAGGAATCTCCAATCTCCATTCTGTCACCCTGGAAGCCCTGAACTGGCTGAAGGCCTTGCCTCTCAGACTTTAATGACCGATATGTCCTCACTTCTTTTTTCTAGATTTAATTCATTTTGTCTCCTCTCTAATTGTAAATACGCTGCTGTATCACCTCATAAGCATAAATTATCTTCTATAGAAGCTTCTATCTTTATAATTATGTATATTTACAAAAAGTCAATTCGCTCGCGCCTCTAGCGGTGAAAATGAGGGGTAATACCAGCTGGCCTAATGTACATGTAAAGTTTGGAGCGGGACGTTTCACAAGAGTGATATCCACGGCTCCAATTTATAATTGTAACAAATAGTATTTGAATAAAAACATTCAATCGGGTAAAACACGGGCGTTGCCCGGGTCATCTACATATGAAGTCACGACCGTCTTTCCTCATTCCTCATCGGCCGCCTCTGTCACGGATGCGCGCGCACATGGAGGTCACGTGCTCGCCGGCAGCCAACGGGCGCGCGCCGCCGGCATTACGTCATATATTATAAACACAAGGTAATAAGGCCAAATAAAAAAATAGTGTGTGATAAGGCACAATTTGGATTATCTACTTATATAATTGCCTTATTCAGTCTGTGTGAAGTTCACTGTGTGAAGTTCACGGATAGATTTTGGTCAGAATGGATAAAATAAAAAAAGTGTCAAGGGATGGGAATCGAACCCACGACCTTCCGCTTACCGGGCAGATGCCATGACCACTAGGCTACCCTGGACATATTTTTCCGTTCACATTTTTATTTTTATATTTTCAAGACACACACAGTTTGAGGCGGGACGTTTCACAAAAGAGACATCCACGGCGCCAATTTATAATTGTAACGAATAGTATTTTAATTAAAACATTTTAAAAATATATACGCACTCGGGTAAAACCCGGGCGTTGCCCCGGGCCATTCGTCTAGTCTATATATATAAAATTGAATGTCTGTGTGTCTGTCTGTCTGTGTGTGTGTCCTCTATGGATTCGAAAACCATACATCCAATCGCCGTGAAATATTGGGATATTATTAGGTGTATCTCCGGAAAGGTTTACGAAAAATAATATCTTGAATATCTTTAATATCCTTAGAGTTATTTGCAGATTTGTAGCTTTAACTCGCAAGCAGCGCCACCATTGAGACGGAGATAGGCTTTTTCAAGAGGGGGAGTAATGTTAGGAGAGAGGAGCGCGTCTCGAGGCGGGTGCTCACGTGTCACTGTTAAAAACCTATTTGTTTTGGCTACATCTTTTCCCGTGGACTTAACGATAACTTTTCTAAAACTTATTTCAAATTTCATGTATAATTATTTTTACATCATTTAGTTTAGTATAATTATTTACTATAATTTCCTATCGTTCAATTATTATACTTTTTGTTCTTAAAGATTATTTAAGACAATAATCTTTAATTAGAAAGTGCTTTGCCAAAAGTTTGGAGTGGGGCAGACCCCGTGCGAGAATGGATTCGCCCGGCCGCCGGCCGACAGTCAAAGTACCCACCGACCAATCAGGGCAGAGTTGGTGACACAGCTATGCCAAGTAGACAAGAAAAAAAGCCTCGCGGGAGCTTGCCCAAGATGACTTCCGGGAACTTCGTCCATCTTCCATAAACGACCATGAATTTATTCAACCTTATCGAGTATTTTTCAAGGGACCGGGAAAAAATGTTCACTAGATAAAACGATGATTTTGTAATGTAGAAAATTAGGAAAGACAAAATTCAGGATGACACGGCACACAGGGACCGGGAAAAAATAATCACTTTATCGAGAGATTCACGACCATGATTTCATTCAACTTATCGAGTATTTTTAAGGGACCGGGAAAATATGTTCACTAGATAAAACGATGATTTTGTAATGTAGAAATTTATGAAAGACAAAATTCAGGATGACACGGCACACAGGGACCGGGAAAAAATAATCACTTTATCGAGAGATTCACGACCATGATTTTATTCAACTTATCGAGTATTTTTCATGGGACCGGGAAAATATGTTCACTAGATGAAACGATGATTTTGTAATGTAGAAAATTATGAAAGACAAAATTCAGGATGACACGGCACACAGGGACCGGGAAAAAATGTTCACTTTTTCGAGAGATTCAAATTTACGAGTTTCAAATTATCAAAATATATCTTTTTTTTTCAAGTTTATAGAGAATTGTTTTAACAAATGTTCGTTAGACAAACCTTTACTCGGGTAAAACCTCGGGCGAAGCCGGGTACGTCCGCTAGTATATATATAAAATTGAATGTCTGTCTGTGTGTACTCTATAGATTCAAAAACCATACATCCAATCGCCGTGAAAATTTGGAAAATTATTAGGTATATCCCCGGGAAGGTTTTTGAAAAATATTTTCTTGAATATCTTGAATATCCTTAGAGTTATTTGCAGATTTGTAGATATAACTCGCAAGCAGCTCCCCCATTGCGACGATGATAACAAGTTTTTCATCTATAAGTTTTATTATCACTAAGTTTATTATCTTAAAGATTATTTATCAAAAGTAAGATTTTCTACCTATTAATTGCGTACAAGTCAAAGTTAATTTTATCATTTATCTACCACATATATATTGGGAGAATAGATAAAATGATGATTTTGTAATACAGAAAATTAGGAAAGACAAAATTCAGGATGACACTGCAATTTATTTGAGACAAGAATAATGATACAATTCCAAGGCAAGATACTATTCCTTTAACTTCCAATTACCGAGGGAACCAATTAATATTGATTTTATTCAACTTATCGAGTATTTTTCAAAGGACCGGGAAAAAATGTTCACTAGATAAAACGATGATTTTGTAATGTAGAAAATTTGGAAAGACAAAATTCAGGATGACACGGCACACAGGGACCGGGAAAAAATGTTCACTTTATCGAGAGATTCAAATTTACGAGTTTCAAATTATCAAAAAATATATATATTTTTATTTTTATAAGTTTATAGAGAATTGTTTTAGCAAATGTTCGTTAGACAAACCTTTACTCGGGTAAAACCCCGGGCGAAGACGGGTACATCCGCTAGTAATAATATAAATGAGTTTTAAAATGTGTAAAAAAAAAGTAAAATGCATCGGCCGGGAATCGAACTAGGGCCGCCCGCGGAGCATGCGATCATTCTACCACTGAATCCCCGATGCTTATAAAAAATGGCTCTATTTGGGTATTTATTCCATTTACAAAATAAACGGTGACAGAATTGTTGATTGATTGTTGATTGATGACTCTGATAACTGTATATTTTAATATATATATATATATATATATAATTTTTAATTAAAAAGGCATATATTGGATCAAAAAAATATTTATTTTACCAATATTTCAGCTGGCTGAACGCCAACCTTTATCAAGGTGTTATAACATTTTAAAGTGTGTAAACACACTTTAAAATGTTATAACACCTTGATAAAGGTTGGCGTTCAGCCAGCTGAAATATTGGTAAAATAAATAATTTTTTGATCCAATATATGCCTTTTTAATTAAAGATTTATCTATGGATTGCTCTATTTTCAAATATATATATATATATATTTATAATAGAGCAATCCATAAATAAATCTCAATTAAAAAGGAATAAATTGGATCAAAAAATCATTTATTTTTTTAATTTATTATGTATTTTAGTTGGCTGAAC